CCATCCGTGCGCCGCCCACGCCCGGCGCCTGACAGGGCGGCTGCTCTTCCCGGCTATTTTTAGATCTCCAGAAGGCGCCGTGGCCGCGCTCAGCTAAACCGAGCCACACCGCCAAGCACTGGGATGTGCTTCTCTTTGAACAAATATGGCTCAAAATTCCATATTTCCCCGAATAAAGTCGATTATCTACACTTTTTACCAGCCCTGCCCCCTGTGGTCTGGCAGTTGGCTGCAAAGCGGAAAGCCACAAGATCCCACCTCAAAGATGGGCATCACCTTCCTAAGGCAGTGCACGAACTCGCGGCCCTGGTGGGGGGCGGGCATACTCCTTAGCATCAATCACAGCTATGTACTTTTCATTTCCATTCACCATCTTAGAATTAATTTCAGCAAAAAGTCGAGCAATTCCCAGAAGGGGTGAAATGGGTTCTCTGAGCAAATGGGGATGGAGGTTTCTGCTGATTTCTGTACTAGGTTGTTTAACTTGTGCTGAGAAACCCATGCACAGAAAAACAGGATAACAAAGCCATCCATTAAAATCCGGAGACACTGAAGAACTGCCTTACATGCCCCATTGCTGTAGGAGTTGTTTAACTGTCTTGAAGTACTAATGTGAAAACAATTGACCCAGTATTATAGATCTCTTTTTACTCAATAACTTTGATTCTAATTAGTTCTTAGTCTTAAAGGATACTTTATCCTGAGTCGCCCATCTCACCACTACCACCCCAGCATCCATCCAAATACTGTTACTGTGTTTCACTTACTCTAGCAAATCAGAGGGAAATAGGTATCACTATTCTTAAACCACAATGACATTTCCAGAGGTATAGATTCATAGAAAAAAAACTAGAGACATAGATGGTTACACTCTCATTCGTTTTCTAGCCACATTGGAAAAATAAAGTCATTGGTTTCATGTCTCCATTTTTTTTAAAAAGGCAAAATTCTTGAAATGATAAGATATCCTGAAGTGTTTATGTGTAGTCTAATAATAGGAAGAACGTTCCTGAATTTCAAATATACTCATTCTTATCTCTCACTATTTAAGTGGTTTCTTAATTTTCATCAGACTGCATAACATCAAATTAGGGTTCATATTTTTTCAAATAAGAAAACTTAATATTTAAAATAAACACAAAGAACACTAGAAGTAGAAAATTTAGTGTTTAGAAACACTTAAAGAAAAGCCACTTTGGAAAATATTCCATTATGAATGTAAATAATGCATTTATCTCATTTCTATGCATATGAATGATAACTTCATTAAGGAACTGATATTGGTGAATATACTCATTCACATTCTACAAAATTAGTGCAGAAATCTTCCTATATTATATTATATACTATTTTTTTAACCTCTATTCAAGTTCCATTTTTGTGGTTGCTCTGGGTTTTTTTTGTTTGTTTGTTTGTTTGTTTTGGGGGATTTTTTTTTTTATATGACAGTTTATGTTATATCTCTTATAATTCGATTATTGAGTGTCTTTTCATTGTTAATTTTCTGGCATAATAAAGTAGGACAAGGAAAATAGGTTGGTTATATCTTTATATTTACTTTTACAGGTATCATTTTATCAGCCTATTTCTAAGTATTTCATGAAAAGATTCTAGATGTCAAAACCTGCAGTTAACGTTCCTGTTTAGAAATACACAAAATAATACCTTTGACGTTGGCAACTCAGATGTATTATTCAGCAAAACAGCAATTACTCATTGTTTTGCACTTACATGTTAAGAACTATGAGACACTTGGTGACACAATAACAAAATTGCAAAGTCAATTACATTTAAAATAGACATCCTAATAAAACATACACAACCAATGCCTTTTACTCTTTTTGAACTGTTTTGTTTCCTTTTTCTGACTGTTTACAGTCAAATAGATTGTGCGAATGTTAAAGCTGAGGATAACTGATTTACACACATGGAGGGGGAGTCAGAAAATGGGGGAGTGTAAGTAAAGGGGAGGTGTCTTTCTGAGGGCACCAGAATTCACCTAGGGAGGTCCTAGAATGTTTTTGTATATTTTTGGAAATGTATGTCTATGGTGTTCTTTTGCAATGTCAGTCATAGTGGCAAACTTTGAAAGGGCAGTGTGCCACAATTTAAAGCAAAATTTAAGTTAGATTCACACTAACAAGTCTAAGCAGAACTCCAGCAATAAAGCCCAAGTAGAGTCTGTTTATATTTCAGAAGAGAGGGTTTCAGGTGGGACTAGGTGTTTGTTTTATTCTATTTTAATTGCACAAGAAGCATTTTTGTAACTTGAACTTCCCAGTAATGAATTCCACCTCTCAACTCAGCCTGCAGCCTGAATTGAAATTCCCATCAGAAAATTAAAATGTTTGTCTGGATAAAATAACTTCTAAAAGAACTCTCTATTTCTTTTCGTTTCTTTTTGTATTTTCTGCAATGTAGCCCCTCGCAATGATATTAGTTCTAGTGTGGGAAAATATTATAATTGAGATCTGGTAAGTTATTTGCAGACTTTTCTTTACAGTTTTTCTTTACACTGTGCTGACATTTAGTACAGCCCTGGTGAGGAAAACAATACTACCATTCATAGCTCTAGACGTAGATTTCAATCGACTTAAGCGGGCACAATGAAACTTGGTCATTCACTGGTTACCCATATTGTGTTCTCAAATTTTCTCTCAGCAAAAGTATAATGACTCAGTATTGTATGGCTGCATAGACAAGGGCTCTGAACAAGAGACACTAGTTTTGTCTGACGGTGTGAGAAAGTCGTGAAGGGATCTTTTCTTCCAGATGGTGTTAAATTCAGCTGCCTTTTTAACATTGGCCTTGCACAGCAATCTGCTCCTTCGCTTTCACAAAGACTGTGCTGGGTTCCCACTAGTTAACATGCATACTCACGCAACCTGCAACTTCACTCCAACTGTTTTACAATGCAGTGGTATGCTAAATAAACTTGATCCGGTTTCTGCCAATGTTCAAACTAGCTTTCAAAGAACTACTTAACTGATATTTACACTTCTTTTGACTTAAATGTACATGCCTTTGGAATATTTCAGATTTCAAAGAAATATCACCTTCTTGGAAGGTCATTGTAGAGATTATCTCCAACACCTTCAGACCCATGCTCAGATACAGTACCCCTCTCTCTTCAACACACACAAATAAAACAAAATGTCAGAAGTTTGATGTGTAATAGAAAAAAGAAAAATTGGGACATGTTGCAGCAAGAGCAGTGGAACAGCAAAAAATAAAATGAAAATAATAACATTGAAATGTATTTTTATTGATTGATAAGTTATGCAACATTAGTATGATACAAAGCAAGTTTGATATGACAATGGCAAACACATAATTGTAATATTGTTTATTTTCCTTAGATGTTATATTTAACATATTTACATAAAAGACCAAGATGTAGGCAAAAGCTTCAGTAATTTGACTCCATTGAGTGCTTTCAGTAAACAATAGGTTTCCCCAGCAAACATCTTATTGCCTTAATTGAACCTCCTCGAGAAAGAAAACCACACACTTTGTAATGTAAATGTTAATTGTAGTAGACAATGGTTCTAGGTAAATAGCACCCCTGGACAGGAAGTAACTGAAAGGAATACAGGCACTTAACAATGAAAGCTTGTTTGCACAAACAGTGCTTCACATGTAAATAAACAAGGGTCTTCTCAACGGTCACTACAGTAGTAAAACTTTGGCACGTGTTCAACAGCCAAATTGAGAATTTACGTTAATAAAAGTCTCGGAGTTTCCAACTAAAGCTAACAGTGGTTTTACAGGCTTCTCCAGTCCAAAGTCTAGTAAGGAGTTGAAGACACACAGGCACATTAACTACTTTTAAAGAAAAACTGTGTATTTTGGACTGTCAGAATCTAGGCCATGTGGAAGACCACAGGCCATTTTGGACATTTTCCTATTGCAATGGGTGTGTTTATGGGGACATGTCTGTACAAATGTTTGCTTGGTGACACGTGAAAAAACCTAAGGACTTTTACGAAAAGATTACAGTGGGGATCCCTCCAAAGTGCCAAAGTTTCTGCTAGGCATGGTTATTTTTAGATTGAATATAAATGGCTGTTATTCGAAAATAACCTTTTATCATATTGTTATTGTAACCAACTTTCTACAGGTTAGTGACTTCCTCATTTTACTTTTAGTATGTGTGTTTACTAGCATAGTTAGGCCAAGTTCATAGATGGATCACGTTAAGAGGCAAACAGCCTCATGAAATCATAAAGACTGTTGCATTGAGAGAGAGATGTATTTTAAAATATAACCCACCCAAAACAAAGTCTAAAGGTGGTCACAAGGCCACAGGCACGGACTAAAAGTCTGACACGAGGGGCAGGCGGTCATGGGACTTTTCTTGGAATCGCTTTCTACTAGCTTTCCTTGAATATCGACAACCTCAAGCAAAGAAGAAAGCCACACTTAATTATGGTCAGATTAAACAGTGGTTAAAAAATTAACAGAAGCAGACAGTATGCAGCCGCTCCAGACCAGTTGGTGTTGCCATTTGGGAAGCTGCAGATGGCTGTGGGTGGGAAATGCCTTTACTTTCTTAAGCGATGGAGATGAGTATGGTGTGTGCACTTGATGTTTTTTTCATACCCCCACCCCCCAACAGGGCTGTCTGTCATAGGCTGCCGGCCCCGCTTTACCACTTGCCCCCGAGCGTGGGAATCAGAGCGTCCTGCCGTTCACATCTCCTGCATTCCGTTTAGCGGAATCAATTAGGCAAGACAGACCCTCAGATTCCCCACCCCCTTTCCATTTTTGTCAGGTCTATATACGTCCTAATTATTTCAGTTTGGGATGCCAGAGCTGTTTCCCGGATAGACCTGATCATCCTTAAACAAAAAGAGAGGAGGCGCACACGTGGGTTGTGGCGTAAATGTCACTTTCATTTCCAATGCTAGGCGCAGAATAAGACAGAACATTTTTTCAACACTTTGACAAGAGGGGAGGCGATCTCGTCTCCATCATGTCTTTCTGCTTCAGTAGCTTCCTCAAGGAAACCCTCTTGGAACAGAGAAGCATCTGTCCTTGTATTTTGAATAGAAGAATAAAAATCAGCCTTTGCTTTTTTTTTTTTTTTTTTTCCTTTTTTTCCTTTCTCATTTTCCCTGCTAGCTCTAAGTCCTTGGTAGGTATAAATTATTAACCTTCCAGTATAAACTTTTCTGAAAGTCTAATTTCATATCATTTGATATACAGCCAAAATACATGTAAAGTTGTTTCCAAGCACACTCTGCAAATGCTAGAGGGTGGGGGAAGACCTCTGGAGGGAACTGCCCAAGTCTACATATTATGGAATCATTTTTGAACTAGGTACCAGACATCTCTACAACAGCGTTCCAAGAAAAATAAAGGCCCCTCATATATAAACTTTTGCCTTAAAGCAGAGCAAGTTGCACATGCATCTTTACTCACGGGCACTATACAATTCGCCTGTGCAACTGTGACAGCCCCCCTCCAGATATCTGTCTACCTTTCTACATTAGCATACGTATGTCACTCAATTTCCTCTCATCCCACCTTTAATCACAAGGCAAAAAAAACACACAACAAAAACAAAGTTAGATTCAATAAGTATTCCTGACCTTTCTGGTTTTTACTGTCTCTTGGCTGTAGTCTTTCATTCTCACATGCTCCCCGGCGATCTTGAAGGAGTTTTTACTTTCGGTTATCTAGCTTTATGAAGACCAATACACTCATACAGCTAGATAACCAAAGATAACAACTCGCTTCCCACACGCCTCTGTCTTCCTCTTGCAGACTTCAGGTTCCTGGACCCTTCCTGACAGCACCGAAGAGTGGTCGTCCAGGACTCTTGCCGCGCAGAAGATTCCTCCTTTTATGTAAATATGACCTGGTTTCTGTCTGTGTGTGTGCAGCTAAAACATCCAAACGAGATCTTTTGGCTTCAGAGTTTATTCCCAACTTTTTTTTTTCCTTGCAGCAAGTAATCTCCGGCAGCGTTAACCAACAATTCATCTATTAATATCAGAAAATAAAACCAGCTATTAAGGTGCAGCAAGCTGTTAGGAGTGTGCAGCAGCATCCGTCCCTTCACAGGCCTCTATTTGCATTGTAAATTGCTTCATTCTCACGCAAGACTCCTTAGCCTCCCTCTATAGAGATGTATAAAGCCAGCGGCAATTTCCAGTGCAGGTTAAGGAGGAAGAAAAAAAAATCCCATTCTATAGAAGTGACAGCTGATTCAAGGATCTGCTCCTGATCCTTTTGGGTTAGGCACCATAAGCTTTTTACCAAGCGGTGGCAGCTTGATTGCACATGTCTTGTGTGTGTGTGTTTTAGGGGGAAGATCCTCGATTTCACAGGGCTTCTAGGCTGGGGAGGAGAAGATGCCGTCTTGCTGGCCTGCTGCTGCCCCCGGTCTGAAAGAAGGAGAAAAGGGCCATCATTGGAGGGGCTTTCACTGCCAAATTGTGGACCAGCCCGGCAAGGTCAAAGGTTCGAGACCGCGGGAGACCAAGGTAATGATGATGTCATGAGAAATCTCAAGTACATGGTTATTGATATGCATCAGTGATCAGCCAACTGCCCCTCGCCTGCTGCCCGGGCGGCAGCAGCGACAGCAGCAGCAGCGGCAGCCTTGCAACAAGCCCTATTTTCTCAATCAACATCTCTTCCGCTAGCACTACCGACTGCTCCTGGAAAAGCAACCCGCGGCCTTTTACCTCCTCCGTGCTACTGTAGATCGCTCTAATATCCAAAGACTGGAAGAAATCTCTCTCTAAGGACAGATAAAAGCATTTCAGATCTGGGGAACGTCTTTGCCCGCATTTCTCTTCTGGCAGATTGCATAGGCAGACAGATGGAAGGCACTTTGCTATTGCTTAAAGCAGGGCCTCGCTTTCTGGGTCTGGGAACCAGATCTGAATTACGCAGTGAGTCGATGTGTGATTACATTGACAATTTGCTCTGGTGGTGTGTTTTTAATGGTTTCACAGCTCAGTCATGTTTTGTATCTATGTACCATGGCGACAGAGCAGCATATTTTGTTCTATAAGTCTAAACCGAATGCTCTAAGCAAGTGGACTTCATTCTGGTATTTTAAAAATGACAGCATATGTAGGATGTGTGTGTTACAATGCAGCACAGGTAAACACTGCAGCAATAGTTTCTAATGTTGTACCCAACTCTGCGGTAATAAGAATGCTGAGCCTTTGTTTGTTGCTTTAAACGTCAATTTTCATACAGTAGGAAAATGTACTAGTCTTGCTTATGAAACTATGACAGCATTGTTATCTCATGAAAAATACATATAAAACACCTGGATGTTAAGAGCATAACTCTATCCCTACCCTCTTCCTCCCCACCTCCACCCTTCCTCTACCTAGAGGGGAATGCTGTTTTATTAATTAATTAGCCTCATTCTTTTCCTTAGAACTTTTCAAAGTATGAATATGATCACTTCAAGGAGTCCTTTTCTTCTTGTCTCTCCTTCATAATAGGTAATCTGTGTCTAACGCATCTATAATACGCATAGTTCTAAAATTCAAATGCCCCTCAACAGCACAGCTAAGCTAGTCTACATAAGGTGCATGCATATTCACTATGAGTGAACCTTATGGACTGTTTTTCAAAATTACAAGCTATGTTTGGTGCTGCGACTATTCTTTAAAATATATGCTACAAGAGAATGTAACAAATCTTAATATTCATTGGACACATCACTAGTTGTTCACAATACTGTCATTTCTATAGGTTAACTCTTTTCTCCAATGACTAAAACACTTTTGGAATTAACATACACTCTTTTATTAATTCAGTGATTTATTCATTTAAGACGTGAGGGTGAACATATTTACTGAATTACATACAGAGTACATATATGTAAACCCTACAGAAGAGTCTAACAAGAAAACCAGAATTGTTAGGGAAAGCCCCCAATCAAGAGCTTAAACAACAATATCACACCAATTAAAGATGATTTAGTAATACAAATGCCAACTTTTGCCTAGATTTTTTATTTATTGACTTTTTTGGGTGAACATTCCAGTACTGATTATTGGAAAAGACTAAGGTCTGGAAATCGCTCATCTATTTTTCTTAACAAATTGTGGTACAAGAGGTATGATCAGAGATGGCTGCATTGGGTCACATATCAAATGCACATGCAAACTACAAACTAATCCAGAGAAACACACTCTCAAGGAGTTACTATTCTCTTCTTGAACTATGTGGTCACAACATAAACCCCTGAATAAAAATTTGACACATCACTGAGGTACATACCTCTTTTGACATTACAGAAAACCCTAATGAGCTTTGCTGCCTTGGAAGATTGAAAGTATTGTGGCCTTGCTTTCCAAGACACAGAAGCAGAATCATGACTGATTTGGCATGTATTACCTAAAACAAGCATGTGATGAGATGAATTCAGTTTCTTAAGTCTAAGCCTGAAATTCCAGATATTTTTAGAATATCTTTTTGCTTTGTATACACCTGGGTGGGGTTGGTAAAAGTAGAGAGATGTAATGCATTTATGTCTGTGTATGTTTTTCATCCCCACAATGGTGTGAATTTGCAAATTAACATGGCTATACTTCTATACTTAGCAATTAAATGCATTTTTTGAACCACAGTACCCATCATGAAAGCCAAGCCACTGAACATTTGAGATGCTTCTACAATTAGAAGCTACAGAAGATACTGTCTTAAAATAGCATCTTCTAGGGCAATGCTGCACAGTCACATCAATTGGCTCCAAGACTGGCCCCCATGCCTGGCACATATAACATAGACTCATCACAGGAGCCCCAGTAAGTGAAAATAGCAAACATAAGGATTAGGCAGTCTGTTCATTGGTCACAAAGCCAATTAAATATTTTATCTCTCCATCATCTCTCAGAGTATGAAGAAACAGTGAGCCTTAACACCGAACATCTGATTATTTTGAATATTGCCAAGACTTATATTATGGTTTACCCTATAGGTTTTTAAAGACTATATTATTACACTGGATGTGAGACAAGCTGAAACAATTGTGCAGTTCTAAAGAGTCCTAGCCATGTCTGTCACACGTTAAGAGCAACTATTAACACCTACATGTTATATCTTTTTTTTCTTTCAAAAAGCTATTAAGCTGACCAGAATACCATTTTGAAATCTGCATATTGAAGGATATGCTGAATTTAAATGGCTTGCCTGCTCATTCTCTAATAAGTTCCCATTAATGGCCAGTAGATTAGGACGTGATTGTCATGCTTGTTTCCTAATCTTTGTATAGGTCTCCAGATGACTGAAACATGCATTGAAACATCCTGGTTTATTTGAGAATAAATACTCTCTGCTTAAGCTAAAAGTGAAAAGTTATGATTTTCCACATATCTGGATCTGAATTGGCTAGTCCATAAATTCAGACACATCAGGTTTGTCACCAATATTTAGAACATCTCCGAATCCTAGTCAGACCATTGCAGAGGACATAAAGAACTGACCTAACACCAAATCCCCTTTCAATATTTGGTCTCATATATGTAAACCTCAGTCCACTTATACAGTCAAACTACCATTTTCTACAAAGAAGTCATTTACTTAACTCACAGTGATTTGTATAGTTCAGGCAAGGTACTTGACTGGCTTACTTTCTAATAAAAGTATTCTATTATTTTTTCTGTATCCTGAATTTCATTTTATAGGCAGTTATAGGTTATGTTTGTATTATGCTTGATATAGAATATACAAAGGATCTCTACAGAGCAAAAAATTACACCTATAGAAACTTAGATTTTTTTCTGAAATTCTATTGCATGAATTGGGAGATATGCAATACACTGCAGGCCCACCATCCAGTAAATAATATTTTGATTTTGCACATCACTTTGATTTTATCAAATATAAATTTTAAAATTACCTTTGGTTGGCTGAATTGTCTATTCATTTATGTTTCTTTGCGGTCTCATCTGAAAAACAGTTAAGAAAACAAATAATCACAGTTTATATATATATATATATATATTCATATATAGATATAGCTTCATTTAGAATATTGCAATTACCATGACTCCTTAAAATGCCAAGAGATTCCATAAAACCCAATACAATGTGTCTTGGGTCTCAGCACCCACAGGGTTAAATATGCTAATTTGCATTTAAATGGAGACATGCATGATAATGGGAATGCAATATATGCAGAATCTGGAGGGGTTTGGGAAATTAATTTTTCTTTCTTCTTTTCTTTTATTTTTAGCTTGGAAGGAAGAGGGACTCTTAAGAAACATTAGGGACTTGAACCTTGTAACCTGTCATACAAAAGAGGAGAGTCCTTCCATGTAAGGATTTTAAGCCTGGAGCAAAGTCTTATTTTCCAAATGTTTAAGGGACTGAATTTCCAGGCCTTTCAAACAATGGGGATCCCTGGATAAATATCTAATCCATTAGAAAGATGCAAATAGTTTACTGTAAGGCCATAGCACGGTGAGATGTGCATTCATATCTATGGCTCCTGATTGGCTCTTTCCTCCAGTAAATCAATGAATAATGTAAAACCTGATTGCTGTAAAGTGATGATTTTTAAAAATCCCCTTCCCCCACTACCCCATGATCCAAGATGCAGGAAGTCTTCACACTCTCCAAAATAGGTTGCTTTCCTTTTATGATTTTTTATGCTTATTGTTATTTTAGACTGGTGGGGTGGGGCTGCTGGTTTTGCAAAATGAAAGTACTGCCTTGATTCAATTATGCTGACCGTGGGAGCTCGAGTTCGGAGACAGCGCCCTAATTATTAGTGCCAAGGTGGAGAAGGAGGGTGACAGGCAGAGGTGGACACTGAGGAGAGGGAGGAAACTGGATCCGGCCCCGCCGTTCTGGGCCCAAGACAGCCACAGCTCCAAAGGGGCCCCCGGCCGTGGCCGTGACTTGACAGGGCCTCGGGTCTAACTTCTGATCAATTATACTGCCGTCCTGACCCTTTAAAACAGTTCCCCATTCAATCACCGCGGAAGCATTTGCAAGAGAAAACGCCGTAGACACGAATGCAAATACAGTGTCAGGATTCCCAGGGCTTTGGGTCCCGCGGATAATTCCAGGCCACAGAAAGGAGGTCTCGCCTTCCTCAGCCGAGTCTGGGCTCCAAGCGAACCGCGAAGACCCGGCTCCGCTCGGATTCCAGAAGCGTCTGAAGCTGAACTGCGCCAAGTGCCTATAACTAACCATAGTGCTTGTATCTTGATGAATCTGAACTTGGGATAACCTCGTAAAGCGGCCTCTCACCTCCCAAATTCAAAAGGCAAAGAGAAATAGAAAGTGGGAAACCCACCAGATCTAGTTAGCTACTACCCGTAAGTTTTCTACCAGCATCCAGTCAGATCCTCGCTTCCCTGCCAGTAATTGCAACTTTGGGGTGGTACAGGGAAGAAGAATTATTAAAAATGCGAGTTCTCCATGCAGAATCGCAAAATAAAATTGTATTTTGCTCCAGGTGTTAACGGGAAAAAGTCCTAGCAGCACCAACGTAAAATTACATACAAAAATTCCCTTTTGCAAAGCGAAATTTTCCTGGCATCTCTGCGATTGGGGGTCAGGCCGTGTATAATTAAGTCTTGGCTCCGAAAACTCACGAGATCAACAGGTTTGGCATCCGAGGCACACAATCAATTAGCTGAAGCAAAGCCCCGGACTGGCCCTCGGAGCGGCCCGCAACCAGGCTCGGCGGGCATCGGCCCGCGGGCGAGGTGTGGACGCGGGCGAGGTGAGGACACGGGTGCGGGGCCGCGGCGGGCACCGCTGGCCCCACACGCCGGCCAAGCTGCAGCCTGCGGGTCGCCACGGTACTCACTTGGTCTCCCGCGCCAGGCAGTGTCGCCCCCCAAATCCAGCTGGGCAGGAACCGAGGCGCCGGCCAGAAGACAAGATCCAGAGTCACCACCGCGCGGCCGCAGCACACACACAGGCTCCTTTCGGCGTCTCTCAAAAAAAAAAAAAAAAAAAAAAAAAAAAAAAAATTTCAGAACATTCCTCTTTTTAGCACGTTTAAAACTGGCGCTCAGTTCCACATGGTGATTCTTGCTTGATTGCGTCTAAAATAGTTTAAACGGGTCTTCCCTTCCGGGGAGAGAGAAGGGTGCAAAAGACCAAGGAGAGAGAGAGAGAGAGAGAAAAAAAGGCAACTTTTCCCCCCCACGCCAGGCACTTGCTCCCTGAGCCTCTGAGTGGAGAGTGAAGTGGTGTGTGTGAGGCTTGGCAAGTTTTTGGGGGGGCTGTCCAAGGTCTAGTCCAGCCCCCTCTGCCGAGGAGGACGTGCTCTGAAACTCAACCAATTTCCCCACTGCTTTTGTTACTGATGAACTGAAGACCTATTGTTCATCCATTGCCACGGTCTTTTTCAGCCCCCACACTACGTTCTGCGTTGCCAGAGATAATGAATTTGCACCCAAACCTCTCATAGTCCCCTCCTGGCAGACGGAACAAATTAGAAATGTCTCCTCTGAAGGAGGGCAATGGCTACATTTTCCTATTGAAGGATGCAAAGCATATATTTCTTTGGAAACTTCTTTTGCCTTTTTTACCTTGTATGTTATTTCCCCTCTTTTTCGTCTTTCGTCCTTTCCCCTCCTCTCCTTTCTTGGTTTCTTAAAACTCATTTTTAAAAGAATCACCCTGTCTTGTTTTTCCAATGCACCGTTTTATGCAACTTGTAGGTCTTTCTACCTTTCTTCCCCTTCTCTCCTCTCCTTTCTTTTTTAAGGACTTCCCTTGCAATTTTATTTACAAACTTGGAGAATGACCTTTTGACTTACAGACTTTTTTTTTTTTTAAGAAAGTCTTTTGGTTCAATTTCCCCTTCCTCACTCCTCCCCCTCTTTTTGTTGTGGTTGTTAAATGTGTTTGGCTAAAGACACGCAGTACATTATAAAGATTTCTCGAAACTCCAGAGCTATTCTAAAGGTACCAGGGCCGCACCATAGGGGTTATCTATTTGAGAGGAAAGAAAAAGCGTGTGTGTGTGTGTGTGTGTGTGTGTGTGTGTGTGTGTGTGTGTGTTCGTTCCAAGGAAAGAGAGAGATGTGGGAGGGCGGGGGTGGAAGTGTGCAGGGAGGGAAGGGAGGGGACTTGGGGGGGGAGGTGGGCTTCCTGCAACATGAGCGGGGAGGCCGTCAGGGGTGTGGGCGCGGGGGGCGGGAGACGGTGCAGGAATCTGTCCCGCCGAGGTCGCCTGTCCCCGGGCTCGTGTTCGCGCCAGGGGCAGCCGCAGCCGGGCGCGGGTGCCTGCATGCCGGGGCGCCGTTCCGAGCTTGCGCGCGTGCGACCGGGGGCGGGGGTGGGGGGAGCCGTGAACACCCAGACGAGGGGCCCGTATGTAAATGCCCCCCGGGGGGAGCGGGAGGCGGCGGAGGGAGCCGCCGGCGCGCGGCCCCGCCGGCGGCCCGGAGCTTTCCCGCCAAGTGCAGCGGGAGGACG